ATTGCCCAAAGCATCACACTGCCTCAGCCAGCTTGCCTTTTTCCCATAGTGTATCCCGGTGCCATCTCTTCCCCAGGTAAGCTGGAGCAGGCTCTCTGCCGTGACAGGAGAGTGGCTGGATTCCCCCTTCCGATCCGCCAGCGCTGACTGGCGGAACGGACGGGGGAGGGGGCGGGTACAGCTGGCTCTGCCTCTAGATAGGCAGAACCAGCTGTCAGTCACGCAGCTGGGCGGATCCCGGCATAATTGTCGGGATCCGCTTCAGCTGCGGCGTCTCAGTATACCGCGAGCTACAGCTCGCGGTATACTGAGCCTAGGGTGACAGGAGGATGCTAGTTTGTGTTCTCCTGTTACCCTAAGGAGAACTATGGGGAAAAGCCTTAACCCCATAGTTCTCCTTTAAGGTGAGCCATGGCCATAAAGGAAACCTGTACTGAGAACAGGAGCCTGCCATTCAGAGGCGTCCCATGGCAGGGTGACACCCCGCAGTGACGTGATGACCGCTGTACCACTGTTACCTGCCCGCAGCCATCATGATGATGGACGCTGACAGAAAGACTAGGGGACGTTCACCCGGCGGGATAAGGTATGCCACCGGGTCCCCTCCTCTCTCGAGCAACTGTCAGGCTCTCGGTCCATGACCGAGTGCCCAACTTTTCAGAGGGGGGGGGTGACCCCAAAATGACTCAGTAATTTTTGGGTCACCCCTTCAATGGTGTCACCCGGGTGCGGGCCACCGCCCCGTGACGGCACTGCTGCCATACAATACCAGTTGCCTGACTGTTGTAGCCAGACACCTAGCATTTTCCAGAGGGAGAGGTCAGCAATGACTGCCACCATGTCTTTCTCATGAAAGGTTTCCTCTAAAAAGATTGGAGATGTCAGCCATAATATAGATTTAAATGGAATGTATCAAAAAGCAAGGTACTGCTTTAAAAACCTACAATGGAAGCTGCCATTTCTGGCCTCTGGATCAGTCACAAGTTTCAGGGCAGTGTGTTTATTCACTGTGAAGCTTAATTCTAGATGCTGACATTTTAAAATGTTAAGAACATTTTGCTACCAAATTGGTGTTCCCAAATTCTTTCTGCAAAAATGGCTCTATTTCCAAAAGCCACTGGTGGACCTGAGCCTAGAACAGCAAGGTTGGGGGGAAGGCACACCAAGGCTCAATAGTGTAGTAACATTTCCTTATCTTATTTTCCTCTTCTGTCCATCTCTGGATCTCTGTAGCTAAAAACAGTAAAGTACTGTTGGGGGGGTTGGAAGGTGGTGCACGAGATGTTGCGAAAAGTCAGGGGGCTCGTTATAGCTCAGGTTATATGAAGCCATCTTTTCTTTCTCTTGCTTGTGCTCTCTGCATAAGCTCTGCATATTGCCCAATGTCTATAGTTGTAGATTCTAGCATTCGTTTTTACTAAAAAATAATCACATTACATAGGAGGCAGAGATTGTATGAAAACCATACATTCACCAATGGGCATTTGTGAAAATCTTAAATTTTGTTCTTTCATTGTTATAATAGTGCAGCATGTCTCTCTCACAGATGACTTGGTTTTCTTTTTATGGGCTACTGTTTGCTCTATCTGAGACACCAAAAGTGTCAGGCTGACAGGGGGCAGAGCAACAGCACACAAGAGGTAAAGCTGCACTATTATAACAATTTAGGAGTGGCAATCCAAATTCTTAAGCTGCCCACACACCTTACAATTTATCTGCAGATTTTCTGTGGTCAGATGGAAAAAAAAGTGCAACAGATTGGCCCAGGTGGAGATTACTCCATCCACACAGTTAAGTGTAGATGGAGGAATCTGTTGCACCTTTTCCATCTGACCACAGAAAATCTGCAGATAATTGTAAGGTGTATGGCCAGCTTTACAAGGCCCATTACAGATTGGTTCTCCTTAACACACATCTATGTCCAGGTTTCAGCCATTCAAGTAGTTACATCTACATGACAGTAAAGGAGCTTTAAAACAAGCCATTACTAATCTCTGTAGCTTTAGGCACTGTGAAGGAATTCATCCTCAATGTTAAACAGCAGAAGCACTGAAGTTTTTCTCTCAGCAAGGCAAGCGGAGCTGACCGACAACGTAAGCGTTTTTACTGTAAACGTTGACAAAAAAAACTGCGCCATGGTGCCAGCAGCTACAGAGATCAATCCGGGAGGGCCTGTTCTAAAGCACATTTACTGCTCGTTGAGAATAATTTAAAATCATTTAGCCTGGTCACGCATTCACTTGCAATGCAGTAACCCAAAATGAGCAGATGTCATTTACAATAGTCCCAACAATTAAGAAATAATCAAAGACTAGTTTCTATAAAAAAGCTTTACTATGCACACTACCAGTGCTCTTTGTACTGGATTACTGAACATGCCTGACTATGCTGATTTTAGTAAAGCAATGCATGACTAAAGAAAATGGAAGCATGAAGTCTTAATTTTTTTATTGAAAATGTACAGAAAAGTATGTGAGATAGTGTTGGTTCTTATATTCAGCATGTATCAGCAATTTACCATCCACACATTATCTTCATATTTGACAGTTTTAAAGGAAACATGTACTTTTGGAATATGTGGGCTGCAAAAAAAGAAGGGTGACCCTTCTGAAAATGCTAGTCACTTGGCTGTTGGTACCTTTAGTATTAAATCATACAGAGATGAATCAGAGCCGAGCAGATCTCGTGGTCTGCATACTTTCCCAAATTAGTTACTCAAAAGCATTAAAGCCATTAGATTAACATTAAGGGAAAAAGCATTTTCAGGTCAGCTTTGGCAGCCTACATATTGCCCTTGGTACAGGTTTATTTCAAGCTTTATTTCAAACAACTTCTGCCTTTCTAGGTGTTGCTGAACTATTGTTACACTAGATTGTGCAACTGGAAGAGCTGGGTGGAAAATGCAGTACAACGGTGTGTGGCATGGTAAAAGTTCCTAAACCTCATTCAGCAAGAACATTAAGAACATTATAATAGCACTGAGGATGCAGCAGAGTTAAAGGAAATACAGTTTCTGTACCCAGTCACAAATGTGGGAATAACAAATTTCATTAATGGGTAGACATAGCAACATGGGAAGAGATTTGCCCAATGACTATGGCAGGGTTTCAGACAGTTTTGAGTTCCATTTCCACATGTAGCTAGGAGTAAGGGCCTGCAGCAACAAGCATTTGCTTGCTTCAAACTGGATTTGGATTCCCATACAAGTCTATGGAAATAATAAAACTTCCTTGAAGCATGCCAGGAGGAGTTCAACTGCAGGCCAAATACACCTTCAATGAATTCTGAATGGTCTTGGAAGCATCTAAAACTGAGGACATTGACCCAACCCTAAATTTGGAACAGGCTCTAAGGGTGGGCAATATGTGGGTTAGAACACCACCTACCATGTACTTACATAGCTTTTATTAGTTTTATAGCAAAAGGAATAAGTTATATTTGTTTTTGTACTAAAAGCACATAAACAGTGAAAGACATTTTGTGCATCATTCAGAATGTCAAACTTGTGTTCTGAGAGAAGCAGAGAGCCGGCTCAGCATTTTGGGTGAGTATAATTTTTTTTAGCACCTAGACCAAAACAAGTAGTTAACCCTTGCGGTGTGGGAGTAGCCCTATTGCAAGGATTATTAAAAGTTTTGCCAGGAGTTCTTATATTAGATTCAGAAGCCTTTTGGGCTCAATATGAGGTAAACATGGTTTAGATTTTTCCATGTGCCACCTCTAAAAGGAGCATTAATTACATTTTAACTTACACATTATTACAGATAAAAAATAATACAGTCATGTTAAAAAAAAACTTAAAACTGGGTTAAGAAACAAATCTTAAAGACAGAAAACAGGAGTTGGTAAGGCTAGTATGGATAGTTTTGTCACTTTACAACCTTGGTAAAAGCACACACACGGGGCACACATGCATCAAAATCAGAACATGAATAAAGTAGGCACATGAAGGATCTGTACACCATACATCTCATTGTACCGATACAAATCTCACTGAATCACCTAGAACTGTGTACCATTTACAGTATTTCTTCATGGATTCGTATTGATAGATTCAGCTAATAGGAAATGAGCAGTCATTTTTAGGTCAGATTGATTATTATTATGGGATCATTTCTGTATAACAACTACATAATCAGTATCAAGGGTAATTTAATATAATAAAAGCCAAAATTACTACTTCGCTTAAACACTGATCTTCTTCGTAATTTGATTGCCAAGCTGGAGTCAACTAAAGCAAATTTTTCTAGAGCTGGCCATACACCTATAGATTATCTGCAGATTTTCTATGGTCAGATGGATAGAGGAATCTCCCACTGGGCCAAGCTTCAGTATCTTGCTAATCAGCCACGCTGGCTCTCAAAATACCTGAACAATGCCTGCATCCAATCAGACTGTTTAGGTATTTTGAGAGCCAGCGGGGCCATCTAGCACGATACTGAAGCAATTGGATGAATACAGCAGTTTCACAGTGGCTCCGATTGAGAAACCTCCCTTTCCTGATGCTCATGAGACCCATTCACACTTCTGGACCAGACCCTAGAGTTTTCCACAGTAGTGAAAGTAATGATCTTAGAATATCTTTTATTAAAACATGCTGCCAACAATTCAAAGAACCTGCATTTTTTAACACACGTCAGCACATTGCCGAGTGCAGAAGCCAACTGCCACTAATGTTATTTATTTTTAATGTGCCTTCTTGTGACGGAAAGGTCCTGGGTATTAAATGGAGGCACACTTAGCTGTATTTTATATATTCGAGAAACACTGTTCTAAACATTAGCAGAGAAAGAACATCTGAAACGTTGAATAAGCTGACATAGATAAAGAGCATGTGCTTCAACATACCACCACGCATCCACACTTACCATTTCCATTAAGCATTACCCCGCTACCAGATAAAAATCACCCCCCCCCCCCCCCCCCCCTCCCCCCCAGCCCCCTTTCACAAAACCAAAAA